AACAGAATAAAAACAAAGTTACTCGCTAATTCTTGTATATTATAATACGTTAAAGCTGCATTAATATTTTGAGGTTTTGTTGACTTGTTGCCGTATCCTGGAAACGGCGGAGCCAGGGCCGGCTTTAGCCAATTTGATGCCCTAGGCGAGATTTTTGCTAATAAAACATATATTGCTCAGATTTAGAAATATTTAATACCGACGTACATCAGCCGTCATTGTTTACGGCGTGCAGAGCAGCTTTTTATCCTCGCGCCAAAATATTACGAGAGTAATGAGAGTGAGAGTGCTGGAGGAGAGGTTTGAGTCATATTTCCCTCCTATGAATGAAGACTTTGATTGGCTGCGGGATCCGTTTAATCCTCTCATTAATATCAGCCACTAGTTTAAACAGCAGAGCTCAGGATGCACTCGCAGATCTATGAAACTGAAGCACGGTGAACTACTTCTGGATATCTTTTGGCTGCTTGTGGGACACAAGTATCCATCCCTCTCAGAGAGTTTTATCAACGTGCTTTTACCGTTTCCAACCTCCTACTTGTGCGAGCTGGCGGTTTACTCACTTGCATATCATGTCAAAAACAAGACCCGCCCCCGGCTGTCAGTGGAGCAGGACCTCCGCGTTGCACTGTCCACTATCCCCCCACGCATAAAGAGACTCTGCTCCCAAAAGCAGGCACATGTGTTGCACTAACATGTGCCTATCATAGTTTTGCTGTTTAAACTGATTAGTCTGTTATAATTAGGGATGCTCCGATCGATCGGTCACCGATCGAGATCGGCCGATACTCACTCTCTACCGATCGATCGGGGCTCTCTAAACATGCCGATCGCGAGAGCCGATCGCATGACGTAAAATACATGACACTTTTCTCTGTGCGCGGCAAAACAAGCTCGTCAAAATGGCTTCACCGGTCTAGCATTATTTTAAGGTGTCCGAAAAAGACAGTAAAATAGCGGTATGCAACGTGTGTGTGTGAAGCAGAAATCCTGCAGCTCCGCCCGCTGTGACGGACCGGTAAGCGGAGCGAAACACACAAGAGTTAGACCTAACACACTTAGCTATTTTATCTACCTCTGGAACAAGCTAAACTAGTTATAAATATATTTATTCTTCACTGTCGGGTCACTCATTACTGGATCAGTGAGCTGCATGAGATACTGACAGGCTGTCAGGAGAGGAGAGAGAGGGGGGGGGGAGAGAGAGGGAGAGAGGAAAAGAGAGCGCTTCCGCTCATTTCGCCGTGTTATTATCCAAAGTTAATGTAAACTTGAATAATGTGCATCATTTGAATGTAATAAAAAGTTGATTGTTGTTTGTGGAAGCTCCAGTGAATGAGCCCCATTAACTGAGTTTTAAATATCACTTTAAATGGAAGATTTAAAGTGATGCATCCCTAGTTATAATTATTATTAATTTTAAGTTATCATAGGCCTACCTCTTTTGAAATCCAAATGTAAAATAATAACTCAAAGGAGTCGTTTTTAGTATTTGCTACATTTCTACACAAACAAACAAAGTCTGCAATCCAATGAATGTTAATCTAACTGGGTTTTGATAGATAACATATCTCTTTTTCTTCTCTGAATTATTTTATGTCTATTGTGCACTCAAATCAATATTAATCTAACTATTGTTCGTTTATACATTTTAAGAATTAAGTTTATCTTTTTTGAGAATGAGTTCTTATTTTATTTAATGTATTTGGGTCTACAACAGATGATACAAATGTTTATGTCGGTATATGTGTACTAACAGAGGCGGGGGTGTGTGTGATAACAACGGGGACAGAGCTGGCTGCTGTCAGATGATTAGCTGTGCGGAGTCATCACAAACGGACGTCGCTTCACGTGACGCTCCGGAGGAAAGGACGTCCCATTGCTCTTAAAACTAATTTCCCTGCTTCTTGTGGTTTCCTTGCGTCCCTCCATGCTTCCCTGGTGGGAGGGACCAAACCAAGCGGCAAACTCTGGGGCAGAGCCGGGACGCCAATAAGGAAGTGCCACAAACTGCAGTTCATCTATTGGCCGATAGGCAATGACTGCAGAAAGGAGGAATTTCCATAGACCCCCATGTTAAAATGCCCAACTTTACAGCAGAAATAAACATGTTTCTACCCCTGGATGCAATAAAAATTATTCGGGATATAGTTAGATTCCACCTAAATGATTATTAGTTGTTGAGTGAATTGTTTTATAACGCAACCCTTTTATTTATATTAGGGCTTAACGTTTTTGCCTAAATTAGGGCGTGGTCACTTTGATGGACAGGTACGTAACTCACTGTCAGCTAACAGCAACTTGTCCACTCTGCTAGGCTACAACGTTAGCTAGTTGTAGTGACTGTACTTGACCCTTTAGCCGTGTTCGTGGTGATTGTGCCTTTTAGGGAATGTTGTTACAAATACCAGACAATTAAAATGTCGTGCTGTGCAGTTAAATGTACCAACAGAACTTCCAAGAAGTCTACTCTCAGCTTTTTTTGTTGAGTAAAATGATATTATACATGTTAGCAGGTGTTTGTGTGCTTGTTATATATCTTATAAGCCAGCTAAGGACGTAACCCTTTATACATATATATGTATATATATATATATATATATAGTTTAGTTTATGATTCAGCCTTGGGTAAGACTTTCATAGTCTATGGCTATGACGCCCATAATGCTAAACGGGAGCAAATGTTAAAAGGGGACCCAATTATCCCAGTGGTGGTCGCCGGAGCTAACGGAGCCGCAGGGAGCTAGCTAGCCCCCTGCGGCTCCGTCAGCGGAATCCGGTGTTATAACTGGAGATCAAGGAATGCAGCGAAACGCGGACTTGGTTCGCCTGCAGCCCGCTGTAGTATTAGCTAAAGAAATGATGTTGAACAAGGCTTATTAAGTGAGCATGAGTATGTGAGGATGTGAGCATGTTAGCCTAGCTTGGCAGCTTCAGCTAGATCGGGAGCTTGGAGCCCCGCCTTGTGCTTCAGCAGCAGGTCCCGCCTCGGCTCCGTCTCTTTGCCCTTATTTGGTTGAGGCTGGAGTTAGACTCTGACGTCACTGTCGTGCCGTTAGTGGCCGACTCCGCCTACTAAGGGCTTCTCGGCAACTCTGCAGAATCCTATGGGTGACGTCACGGACCCTACGTCCATTTATATATACAGTCTATGGACTAAACGCAGGGAAACGACGCAAGTGAGGGACGCAAGGATTCCATTTAACCGACCTGAGGTGCAGCCTCGCACTTTGGCTGTGAGCGCCAGATAAGCCAACATCCCCCACTTTCATCACTAACGCAGCATCCACACGGCGGACACACAAGCAGCGGTTTGATTGGCTAGAGCTTGTACTGGCATATGATTCGATTGGCTGACGCTTCTGTCGAAGCTTCAAAAGTTGAACATTACTCACATTTTGCAGTGAGCACCGCGAGAAAAGCTACACTTTGCTCTAGGGCTGTGCAATTAATCGTATTTTAATCGCGATTATGATTATGGCTTGCGACGATTATGAAAACAGCATAATTGACAAAATACGATTATTTTGCTGGGTGCGCTTTCGCCCCTCCCTAAAAGCCCACTCGGCCACGTGGGAGTGACAGGTGTTGTGAGTGTTCAGCGCGAGCGAAGATGTCAGAACAAGAGCAGCAACTCGTTAAAAAGAAGGGTACAACTATTTCCACTATTTGCAAGTACTTTGCCATTACATTCCACATCGCTAAAGATATGTGCCCAGTTAGCACTGTTAGCAACCAGGGCTTTAAGCAACTTGTCAACACGTTGGACAAGCGTTACGCGATGCCGTCTCGGTATTATTTCAGCAGGTCTGCGCTGCCTGCGCTATATGACAAATGCCGTGGGGAAGTTGAGCGAGATGTGGCTTCAGCTGACTACTTTGCCACCACAACGGACCTATGGTCTAGCCCAGGGGTGCCCAACCAGTCGATCGCGAGATGTGTCTAAAAATAGAACAACAATATTCTGTTTTATCGTTAATGTCCTGTAACATAATCTTCCTGTGCCAGAATAATGCACTTGAACGCATCAAAGCTTTGTGATTGGCCGGCGTCACCCCATGTGTCGGGGCGTGGCTGAGGGTCTTCAGTACAGGTGACAATATTGTCACCTGCCTGCGCTCATCTCTGAAACTAGACCATGTAAACAGGCTGGTGTTTCTTGCAAAACATCTTTAAGAGATGACATGAGCAGCCCTACCAGCATTTGCCATGGTGGCCTAAACATTTTTATTTGGTCTTAAATTGTAGTTCAACATTTATTTCCTGTTACTTCTGGACCATGACGGTTGGCCAGCCTTCAACGTTTAACTGAGTGGTGTATGTTGAATATGTTTTACCAACATGTTGGCTATATGTTAAGGAGTTTTCAGTAGGTTGTGACAGTGCACTGCAACATGTTTGATTTAATTTATTTTGGTCTAATTTATTTGTATTTATCATATTAATAATATATGTTTAGTATGGTTTTGGAAGTGCGCTCCAACATATTTGTTGATCTTGTTTATTGGTAAAATATTATTTGTTTTAAAGTTCAATAAATGGTCAATGAATAATCGTCAAAATAATCGTGGTATCAATTATTGACCCAAATAATCGTGATTATGATTTTTGCCATAATCGCACAGCCCTACTTTGCTCCCACAATGTAGTTCGGCAAAGCATGACGTCACCCCATTCAAAGTGAATGGGCAGAAGCGTTGAAGCTTCAACGCACGCCGATGTGTGGACGGGCCGTTACAGCGCCCATCGTACAGGGCAAATGAAAAGTGTAACCGGGGTGAAAAGGGTGTTTCATTTACTTAATTATGAATGTTGTTACATCAAGGCCAAAAATTAGAATGAGCACCACCGGTCAAAAATGTTTTTTCCCCTCCCAGAGCTGCCAGCGCAGCGCCCCATCCCCAGATCTGGCGCCCTAGGCGAACATCTTTAACGCCAATGCTAAGGACCGGCCCTGGGCGGAGCTACCTAAGGTAGCTCGGTGATAAAGCAAAACTAACCTGAAGCCTCGTTGTAATACACGTTGATGCGATCCAGCTGCAGGTCGCTGTCCCCGTGGTATGACCCGGTTGGGTCGATGCCATGTTCGTCGCTTATGACTTCCCAAAACTAGAAGAGAATAAAACACAACAACGGTCAAATGACCTGATACATAGCATGACTTAGCTTTCTAAGTATGTAGCTATCGTTAGCATTTTTGCTAAGTACGCTAACCGGCCGCCCGGTAAAATGCATTTTATGAATGAGTTAATAATTCACTTTTACATATAACTATAATTACCTTAGCACCAATCTGATTTCCACACTGGCCTGCCTGGAGGTGCACAATTTCCCTCATTTTGGTTGAATTAAAAAATTCCAAACGACCGAAAAAGACAAAGGCGTTACTCTGTAGTGATCCAGCTAGGAACTAACCAGAAAGGCGGGAGAGTTGCAATTTACCGTTTCCCGATTGGTCCAAAAATAAATCTACCGTTTCCCAGATTGGTCCAAATGTATGTCAATCATGCTCATCAGTCATCTCATTGGTTTAGAAAATATGTGTGAAGTTTTGACTGGTAAGGGCGTGCAGCTTGCTTTAGGTGCCTTTACCGCCACCTTGTGGAGTGTGAATAAATATACTTCCTGTCCTTTTGAATGCCACATCCCCTGAATGACTGTGCTATTTAGCCCTGTCTGCCTTGTTGACTTCATTTGTTTCTCCAACTATCCTTTGAACATTATAAAAATGTCTGCCCTTTACTCATCTATCCCGCCATTTCTTTTTCATTTGGGATTTGATGATGCTTGTGATCTCAGCCTTGCTAAACTTCACACTCATACTAATTTGTCTCCTCCATGTCGCCAACTTTGCATATTTATTTGTCATCTCATTTTCCTCCAACACCCAATGTGGAGAAATCCAGATGAAATAGGCGATTACTCATGCCCTTGAGATTCTATGAAGTGCTTGTGATCTTTCCAGTACCATGTCTTGTCTCTGAATGCATAGGTTTAATGCCTTCTAATCCACTGCTGGAGGCATATCCTATCAATACCTTCCTTGTCCGACCTTTCAGACAGAACTCTCTGTATGTTGCCACTCAGCGGCTAAATTGTTGGTTATTTAGATAGTCACTAAACAATAAATAAGATCACTATATTTCAGTAAACAAAGCATTGGTCATAGTTCAGAAACACCACAATGTAGCACCAAATGATAAATATTTTATTGAAATTAAGCTTTGCATTTGTTGTAATAACATCGCAGTACACGCACACTAGGAATATTGTAACAATGACCAGTTCTTTCAAAACAATTAAGCTCCATATCAAACAGGATTTGTCACATCTGAATGCGAGTCTGATGAGGGCCTTAAACTGGTCACTGTTACGTTCTCTTTCATAACAAATCTTGTTACCTTGCATCTTGAAAAGAGTGAACAGAAGATACAAGACAAAAACATTGATATCCAAAGCAGGAAGGAAGAACAGACGGTTGAGAACAAAACAAAGACATTTAAAAAAACAAGGCTGGACAAGAACTGTTATCATTGTGCAACATTCAGAGGAACTACTGTGCGATTCTTTGAAACTGTAGTTTTATTGATTAAAATCCAATTGTCAATAATTCTACAATGATGCGTTTGGGCTGAGCGTCTAGGCCAGCTCCTCTTCGCCTTCATCTTCAAACTCGCCCTCCTCCTCAGCGGTGGCGTCCTGGTACTGCTGGTACTCAGACACCAGGTCGTTCATGTTGCTCTCAGCCTCTGTGAACTCCATCTCATCCATGCCCTCGCCGGTGTACCTGAAACAAGGAAATATTACTCACGGCATATAACTTTCAATCTTTCTTGACATTTATTTGGCCAAACCATTCATCTTGAAAAAAATGTAAGGTGATCAATCCGTCAACCCTCTATCACTCACCAGTGGAGGAAGGCCTTGCGGCGGAACATGGCGGTGAACTGCTCTGAGATGCGCTTGAACAGCTCCTGGATGGCCGTGCTGTTGCCGATGAAGGTGGCGGCCATCTTGAGGCCACGGGGAGGAATGTCGCAGACGGCAGTCTTCACGTTGTTTGGGATCCACTCAACAAAATAGCTGCTGTTCTTGTTCTGCACATTCAACATCTGCTCGTCCACTTCCTTCATGGACATGCGGCCTCTGAAGATGGCGGCTACCGTGAGGTAGCGGCCGTGGCGCGGGTCGCAGGCTGCCATCATGTTCTTGGAGTCGAACATCTGCTGGGTGAGCTCAGGAACCGTCAACGACCTGCAGGAAGAACGACCATCAGTAAGTGTTAATTTAAATGGTGTCAATCCATTCAAAAAAGTAATTGCCTTAAATCGCGGTTAAAATACTAGCATATACATGTATTTTAGGGGGGTATAAAACTAAAACATATGTGGTGTTGTAATAAAGAAAAAGCATGACAAAAGGGTGAGTGTTATACATGTAGCCTGTGCCAGTTAGTCCTTTCACTCTCATTCCATTCATAGCCAAACATCCTCGCTGGAATTACGGAAGGAAATTTAGGTCAAACTTGAGTTGAGTTAACTTGCAAAAATGTCCGTTAATTGTATTTTAAAAAATATGACCATTTCAAATTGTGGGTCCATTTGCTGTTGACACATTGTAAAAGCCCCCGCAGCGGGGACAAATGAAGGATATGTGATCATTACAGCTATTCAATATTTTAGTTTTATTTGCTGAAACAAGAAAACCCTTGCGAAATTGAACCAGAGTACAATGTAAAAATTATGTAATGACAGTAAAAAATACAGCTTGAGGGTCCGACAGTCTCTCTACCTGTACTGCTGGCTGCCTCGGCTGGTCAGGGGGGCGAAGCCGGGCATGAAGAAGTGCAGTCTGGGGAAGGGCACCATGTTGACGGCCAGTTTCCTCAGATCAGCATTGAGCTGGCCGTGGAAGCGCAGACAGGTGGTCACCCCGCTCATGGTGGCTGAGACGAGGTGGTTGAGGTCTCCGTAGGATGGCGTGGTGAGCTTCAGTGTGCGGAAGCAGATGTCATACAGCGCCTCATTATCAATGCAGAAGGTCTCATCTGTGTTCTCCACCAGCTGGTGGACCGAGAGGGTGGCGTTGTACGGCTCCACCACTGTGTCTGAAACCTGAGGTCGGGGGAGGGAGAAGGAGTCGCATTAAAGCAGAAGTAAGATGAGGTAAATAGTTAATGTTGGAGTATTTTGGTGTATTATAAGCACCTTAGGCGAAGGCACCACGCTGAAAGTGTTCATGATGCGGTCTGGATACTCCTCTCGGATTTTGCTGATCATCAGCGTGCCCATGCCCGAGCCGGTCCCTCCACCCAGGGAGTGTGTGAGCTGGAAGCCCTGCAGGCAGTCGCAGCCCTCCGCCTCCTTCCTCACGACATCCAGGACCGAGTCCACCAGCTCGGCTCCCTCAGTGTAGTGACCCTTAGCCCAGTTATTACCAGCTCCGCTCTGGCCTGTGTCACATGCAAACACACAACTCTATAACATGTGGCGACACATCCTAAATCTACAAAAAATTATGGCTTCGTTATAATTGCAAACACTATTTAATGTCAGTGAGCAGTGCATACACAAGGCAGCAATACAAGAAAGGAATGATAGTTCTAAAGTTATACTCTCCCAACATAATCCAACTTTATCAACCCAAGTTAAAACAAGAATTGTTTTACATCCTTACCAAAGACAAAGTTGTCTGGTCTAAAGATCTGGCCAAAGGGACCGGACCTCACCGAGTCCATGGTGCCGGGCTCCAAGTCCACCAGCACTGCCCGGGGGACATACTTTCCACCTGGTGATCCAAACACAAAAGAGACAAATTATCTTATTTTTATTTAAATTGAGCATTATTTGTACATTTTCGATTGCTACATTGTTATTCAAACAAAACCCTGTTCGTCTTTATTTTATGTTTAATAACATACTTTGCCTTTGAAATTATGAGCAGACACAGCAAAAAACATATTGTAAGCTTAATTATTATATAATTTGTTTCATAATAATCACAGGAGGCGTGTGGCAAGTTAAAACCCCACGGCATGTCGTTGTGTCCCAGGGCAAGACACTTCACCCCAAATTGCTCCTGTGGGGATTGTCCACAGTATTGAGTATGTAAGTCGCTTTGGATAAAAGCGTCTAACAAGTGACATGTAATGTAATAATTGTTGTAGGCATGTTAATACAGTTCAGTGTTCTTACAGCAAACGGTTACAATTAATAACAGAATACAAACAAAGTCACTCGCTAATTCATGTATATTATAATAAGTTAAAGCTGCATTGTTGTTTGGGACAGTATTATTATCTTGAGATTTTGTTGACTTCGTATCCTGGAAATGGCTACCAAAGATAGCTCGGTGCTAAAGCAAAGCTAACCTGAAGCCTCGTTGTAATACACGTTGATGCGATCCAACTGCAGGTCGCTGTCCCCACAGTATGACCCAGTCGGGTCGATGCCATGCTCGTCGCTTATGACTTCCCAAAACTAGAAGAGAATAAAACACAACAACGGTCAAATTAGCTGATCATTTGCATGACTTCTCTTGCCAAGTATGTAGCTATCGATAGCATTTTTGCTAAGTATGCTAACCGACCCGCCCAAACTAAATGAAACATCCGCGCATTTTATGAATGAGTTAAGAATTCACTTTGAAACCTAAACTACTATTACCTTAGCGCCAATCTGATTTCCACACTGGCCTGCCTGGAGGTGCACAATTTCCCTCATTTTGGTTGAATTAAAAGATTCCAAACAACCGAAAAAGACAAAGACGTTACTCTGTAGTGATCCAGCTACGAACTAACCGGAAAGCCGGGAGTGTTGCAATTTAACGTTTCCCGATTGCTCCAAAATAATTCTACCGTTTCCCAGATTGGTCCAAATGTATGTCACTCATGCTCATCAGTCATCTCATTGGTTTAGAAAATGTGGTGTGGAGTTTTGACTGGTAAGGGCGTGTCAATGGCAACTCGGCCTATGTTGCATTGTTAGTGAAGCTTGAGACTTCATTGCCATTTCTACACTGTAGCTACAATGTGACATTAAAGCCTTTGAATTTAATTGAATATTGTCCACCCAAAGCTCTTCATCTGTCGCTTTTCCCTCTCGACAAATCTCTAGTTTGTTTCAGGCATTTCTCCCATCTCCACCATGGATGTATAATAAGAACTGGAGGCGGGGGCTGAAGTCGAATAGAGAGGCGAAGTCACGCCCATCTACTTCCGGTCCATGAAGCGAAAAATTACACATTGAATTCAATGGAGAGAGAAAACGTATATTTTGATCCCGTTTGAATTGTGCCACGAACTACACATATGATGTTTGTCAATCTTAAACAATCATTTCCATGTCAAAAAAGTCACATTTTGTCCTAAAAACTGTTGATAATATAAGGACTATGAAAAATACGCGACTACAAATCCCATTCTGGGTCGCGTAAGTGATGTCACAGGCGATAATGCTCCAAGTGGTTGGTTCACTTTTACAAGATGCCTGTGTGCTTTGTACCAGGTTGTAATCACAAAAGTGATCATACCACTTGCTCGTTCTATCGCTTCCCGTCTGATGAAAGGACCAGGAGTAGCTGGATCAGACATATCAGGTAATATCATAGGTAATATTGTTGGGCATGGAACATAGTCAAGTTAGCTACCTAGCTAGTAGCGACGAGTAGCGAGCACGTTAGTTAGCATCACATTACTTAGCCTTGTCATTTTTAGTAGCCTTACCATGAAGTTATTATTTTATTACATGAAGTAAACCAAAATGTTAAACAGTAAGAGTAGTCATGATGGTAAGTATTTCGTGAAACATTTGAAGAGTCCGGGTGCTAAGGAAGCAGTTCAGGGAGAGTCGAAGGCAGGCAGGGAGCTTTGCATGACATTCTTCTGGACGTGTTTCATTGTGATGACAGTGAGGGTGAGTCAATCTGTTTGTTGGAAAGACAGTCGTTGTGTGCTTACTGAGAGAAAATTGTTAGAAGAGATAATTATTCAAAGTGTTTCAAAGTGTTGTTACTTTAAACTAAGTGTTGTTACTGACCTTTTTCTCTTTTATTTTCTTTACCTCACCTGTAACTGCTGAGACCCTGAGGAACATGCACACTGGACTGACCTGCTCTGGCAACCTGATTTCCACTGTACGTAATAGTATTTGGTTATGGTATATTATTTGTATACATCAAAGGCACAATGCACCCCCCAGAGACACACATGTATTGAGTGTGATATTTTGCATAGGTCATGTGAAATCATCTTTACATACGAGAAAACTGTAGGAGCGGCAACTTGTTTTGAAATTGAATTTTTAATATCCGATAATAAAGTTGATCTGTTTTCTTTATTCTTCTCTCTTCCCAGCTCCATCCATCACCATTCTCTGTTCCTGCAGGTCCTGCTTGCTAATCAATGGTCATGTTTTTTTACACAATTACAAATTAAGTCAATGTATTGTATGACATGAAGTTGTGCTTCATTCTGAGTCAATAATAAATTCATTCTGCCTTCAACTGCACAATGATTGTGGACTGCACCGACATCCATGTAGCTGCCCCCCAGTAAGATGAACCAAGCAAAGAGGGTCACCATCATGCCCAAGGACATCCAGCTGGCCCGCCGCATCCGCGGAGAGAGGGCTTAGACTGACCTGAGACCAGCACACCCAAACACAACGGCTCTTTTAAGAGCCACCTACAGTTTCAAAGAGTTGCAATCCTACATTATTATAATGATTAAACTGGTTCATGTATCACTTAGTTTACTGAACCGTGATGAATGAAAGAAATTAGTGAGGTAGTGGTTTACTGAAGTTACAAAGACATTAATATATGAGTAACAGGTCAGTGTAAACACAAGCTTCTGTCAATTATGGATCATTCAAACTATTTATATAAACATATGTAATAAAGTTCTAAAACAAGTATTCGGTATATTCCTTGATAGCTTTTGGAGAAGGTTGTTTTTAAGTTTACTAAAATCTATCGTTTCAACTGTTTCACTTTATAAAAAGGGAACAGGTGAGTAGAGCATCATTGAGTTTCTTATTCTGTCAGTAAATTATCCAAATGAATGTTTTTCATTATTTTAGTCAACCCTAAACAAATTGATTGTACCTTTTAATAATGACCTTATGGTCGCCAAAGTTAAATTAACTTCAGAAAATCAAATCTGTTCTGAGAAAAAACTAATAAATGTTTAAAGATAGGAACTTGCCATCCCACTGAAAAACAGTCCGTAGAGATTTAAAGGCGTAATGGTAGTTCAGTCCAACGTTTCATTTGGATTCATTTCTCCAACAGTCAACTATTTTCATAAAGAATATATATATTTTTCAAAGTTAACTTTATTGTCAATCTTACTCAGTTTGTGTTTATAGACAGAGAGATCAAAAAGACATTTAAATAAAATTATACAATTTACAGATATGTATACAAATATATATATCCTATAGGAAGTGTGGTAGATAACAAGTAAATATACATACAGATCCATGTTACAGCAAAAGATGGAATAACTAAGAAGCACGCAGTATAGTCAGTGCTGAAATTGGGCCGGTACTCACCGGTACGCAGTACCGGTGTTGTGTCACATTATGCCTCCCCGTCATGAAATGCCCCCCTTGTCACTGGGAACGCGCATTTCTAAATGACACGTTTCACCTCTAAATGACACGTTAACACCATAGGTTTACACCTTAAAACGATGTTTAAAACGAAAAGTAAACGTTCAGGGTTTTTATTAATGGTAATTTTCAGACTGTGAGTTGTTTAGTGGTAGCTCATAGTCTGATTCTTCTGGTTTAACTTTTTCGCTCCGTATATGAGGTGTCGAAATTCGTTCGTCACTTCCTTTTCAGTTTGTTTTTTTTAAATGTTTTTTTTTATCATTATTGTTACGTCCTGTCTGTATAAACGTGCTTTAAAATGTATTGTTTAATTTTACATAGTTGTCATCTAATAATCTAAATATGTTTACAAATGTTACATAGTCTTTGTCAGCATATATGCTATGCGTACAAAATAAAAGTGTGACATTCATGAAACTTGCTCCATTTATTGGTACCAGTCCTAGAACCATACCCTGAAAAATGCTTGAGGGTGGGATTCATAGAAACCTCTTTTTTTTGGGGGGGGGGGGGGGGGCATTTTATGACAGGCCTAGCCATCACAATATGCCCCCCCTTGCTATCTTACAAAATAAAAAACAATAAATACTTGTTATGTAAGGTATGCATTATGGGATTTTGTTATGATAATAGAATATCTCTAATGTATTTCCCACTAACATTCTAACCATTCCTTCAATAATCGAAATCTTTCAAAAACATAAATGTTGTGTTATGAGAAAGAAATACATTTTCAACAAAAATGTATGGAAAAACAAGCAAACCATTAATCCTTTATCAGTTAATGCTGAAGATGCCAAATATAGTAGCAATTACCAACGCAAATGTTATGTTGATAAAGTCTGGAAACATATTTCTGCTAATTTTCTTTATTTGTAATGTGCAATAGGAAATTACCCAATGTTCTTCATCCTGCTCCTCCATCCCGCAGTAAAAGCAAAGCCTGCTTAGATCATCTGTTGAGACAAAACGTAATCAATATCTTCAGATAAACCACATTGCAGATTTGGGGTCAAGGTGACCCATTCCAAATTTTGACTAAAAGGTCAATTATATAAGGACACATTTGTTGTGGTCTTTTATTATTTTGTGTGAAGAAAAGGCAAAACACACACAAACACATAGATTTTCTAAATGATTAAATCTGAGCACAGAGGAGCCATCTGCTCCTTCTTTCACCCTCTCCGTACCCTCTGTAGAATGGGAACCTGCACAATGTCATTACAAAAACTTCTTTCGCACTGTACGCATCAATTTAAGTTTGGTTCTCATGGTTCTTTTGTTGTTCATCACATGTATTAGCTATACAGCTTTGATTATAATAAGTTCAAGGTAAAAATTAACTGAGGATATCAGTTAAAAGTAATACACACCAATGAGCACATTGAAAGGAGGAAGATGGGGAATCTCACATCTTAAATAAACCGCAGAATTGAAAGGGTGTGTTGGAGTGTGATGTGTGTAGCCTATATGAAATTGCAGTTGAAGATGCCTGCCTGCGATGCTTCATATGTTATCTGTTTGGAGTTGAGATACACAATATACTGTATGTAGTGACTATTTACCCTAATCTATACTTAAGCCACTGTGTTGCTTTTAAAACCCTGATAATTTCCCTGGTCAAGATTAACCCAACAGTACCAATGGTCCAAGCAGTGATACAATACAACAATTTGCATGGCACATTATTAATATACTAGGTTATTGATGCATACTTATGAGATACAATTAATAAAAGTAACTACATGAAGTCATTGACAATGTTGAGAAAAGGTAACAAACCAGATTCTCTGAGGAGAGAAGTAGCAATGTCCAGCCTCAGCTCGTGCACTGCCTTCTGTGAGGTTTCAAACTCAATTACCTCCCCCAGTAAAATGTTCTCTGCAAACTGAAGAGAACCTTGATTAGTATATGGACTGCATGGTCTATGATTTTACCCTCAAATGGAATACAGACAAATGACCCAACAGATTTAAAGAATGACATGTTGTATATGTGTAGTTTGACACAATTCAATACATCTTTGATCAAGATGTATAAAAGCAAGTCAAGATATTCAGTCTAATTGCTACTGAATTTGAGTTTGAGAGTAATGTTTGGCTAAATGCATTTCACACTCACTTTTAAGGCCAGGACACCACAGGATGTGCTGTCTTGTTGGCGATTATGGGGGAGGGTGCTGCATGTCCATCTTGACACCTTGCAGCCTTTCATCCTCATAAAGGCTCTACAGTATGTAGATAGTACATGTGTCAAGATGCAGCACATCATTGTCAAAATACTCATAAAACACCGGAACTAGTACACTGTATCAAATGTACCTTGTAGATTGCAGGCACACCTTCGTTTTGCCTTTCCCTTCTCCAAGTGGATCCAAGAAGAGGGTTTTCTTCTCATGGGGGTACATTACCTTTTATTATTCACATGGAAACACAACATGCATTAGGCAGGAACCATACATTACGCAGGTACGATGTAGGGTATTGTTTAGATTTGATCAATAATAAGTGACAGCATGTATGTGTGGCCCGGTTATCTTGCAAATCACTAATTATATATGGTGTATACAGCACTATAGATACAGATTGGAGCTTAAAATATGCTCCTATTCTCACCACCAACATCCAGTGATGGTTCTCGTTCACAATTCCCACGATGACTGTGTGTGCCATTGGATCAACCTGAGAGTAGTTGCAAAAGTATTACATTCCTGTTGAAAAATGCACATTTGCAACATTTACAAAAGCAAAGTCATTCCAATCATGTACATACCCGGATTCTTCCAAATGTGTGTTTCCAGATGGCGGTCATAGCGTAGCTGTCAATAACAGCTGCTTGACCGTCATTGCGCTGGTTGATTTTTCTGGGTATGGTTCTAGGACTGGTACCAATAAATGGAGCAAGTTTCATGAATGTCACACTTTTATTTTTGTAAGATAGCAAGGGGGGGCATATTGTGATGGCCAGGCCTGTCATAAAATTCCCCCCCCACCAAAAGAGGTTTCTATGAATCCCACCCTCAAGCATTTTTCAGGGTATGGTTCTAGGACTGGTACCAATAAATGGAGCAAGTTTCATGAATGTGACACTTTTATTTTGTAAGATAGCAAGGGGGGGCATATTGTGATGGCCAGGCCTGTCATAAAATGCCCCCCCCCCACCAAAAGAGGTTTCTATGAATCCCACCGTCAAGCATTTTTCAGGGTATGGTTCTAGGACTGGTACCAATAAATGGAGCAAGTTTCATGAATGTGACACTTTTATTTTGTAAGATAGCAAGGGGGGGCATATTGTGATGGCTAGGCCTGTCATAAAATGCCCCCCCCTCCAAAAAAAAAGAGGTTTCTATGAATCCCACCCTCAAGCATTTTTCAGGGTATGGTTCTAGGACTGGTACCAATAAATGGAGCAAGTTTCATGAATGTGACACTTTTATTTTGTAAGATAGCAAGGGGGGGCATATTGTGATGGCCAGGCCTGTCATAAAATGCCCCCCCCCACCAAAAGAGGTTTCTATGAATCCCACCCTCAAGCATTTTTCAGGGTATGGTTCTAGGACTGGTACCAATAAATGGAGCAAGTTTCATGAATGGGACACTTTTATTTTGTAAGATAGCAAGGGGGGGCATATTGTGATGGCTAGGCCTGTCATAAAATGCCCCCCCCCCCCCCAAAAAAAAGAGGTTTCTATGAATCCCACCCTCAAGCATTTTTCAGGGTATGGTTCTAGGACTGGTACCAATAAATGGAGCAAGTTTCATGAATGTCACACTTTTATTTTGTACGCATAGCATATATGCTGACAAAGACTATGTAACATTTGTAAACATATTTAGATTATTAGATGACAACTATGTAAAATTAAACAATACATTTTAAAGCACGTTTATACAGACAGGACGTAACAATAATGATAAAAAAAACATTTAAAAAAACAAACTGAAAAGGAAGTGACGAACGAATTTCGACACCTCATATACGGAGCGAAAAGTTAAACCAGAAGAATCAAGACTATGAGCTACCACTAAACAACTCACAGTCTGAAAATTACCATTAATAAAAACCCTGAACGTTTACTTTTCGTTTTAAACATCGTTTTAAGGTGTAAACCTATGGTGTTAACGTGTCATTTAGAGGTGTAAACGTGTCATTTAGAAATGCGCGTTCCCGTGACAAGGGGGGCATTTCATGACGGGGAGGCATAATGTGACACAACACCGGCACTTCTGGTTATGACCCATGGAGTACCGGCACTTCTTGCTCAGTACCGGCATGCTGGCGGTACTCCGGTACTCATGCACCGTGCCAGTACTCAACACTCTCCCGCCGTTCTTATTATACATCCATATATATATATACAGCCGCCCGGGTACTCAGTAGATGCGTCATGAGGTGCCGAACGGACATTCTCATCGCTCTAACCGCTGGAGTTTCACAGCGGCTGTCAGCTGTTTACTCCTGTCATTCAAACAGAACGTGCTGGAGAGGGGGCGGGGCTTATCTTCTCCATGTAAATACTGTGGTGGAAACGACTGTCAAAATTAACCTATTTGACCGTGATTTAATAGTAATACACGTTTCAAAATAATAACAATAATAATAATAATGCCGAAGTAACAACATACTGAAAACTGTTAGTAAAACCATGTTTTAATGCTTTACAATTTACATACCTAGATGCACGTGTGTTGTGTTTATGCAGTGCAACTCCCACCCAGTGGGTGGCTATGTAGAGTGATAGAACAGAGCAGGCACGCCCCCGAGAGAAGGAAAGCAAGTCACGTCACAAATTAGCATTTCTAAAATGTTAGCGTGGATTAATAAAAGTGCAAAAAGACAGCGGTTGTCGCCGGAAGAAACTTCAAATACAGAGAATGCTGTGCCTGTGTTGGAAATTGTGTCTGATGGGGAGCTTTCTTTGGTTGATCCTCCTGCTCCAAGTTCTAGTGCATTAGCATTAGCACTAGCTCCGCCGCCTCCTCCAGAGCCTCTAACGTTAGCTGCTGCTGGCGCAACTGCCACCACCAACACCGGGCAAAGCGATGCACCTGACTGCTGGACAACGGACCAGGTGCAATATTTTTGCAAGACCAATGCATGGCTCCTTCTTAAATATAAGAAGCTAGGATGTCGGATATGCAGAGATGTCAAATCTTTGGGAATACACACTGGACAAGGACTGAAACTGTCAACTGAATGGGGTGAGTGTGCAGTGTCTCATTTCGGTGTTGACAAGGGCAAACAACAAGCTAGCCTGAGAAAAAAAAATCAAAGAACATAAAGAATCACAAGCCCATGTAAAAGCTGCTGACATCCTTACATCTGCTTCATGTGAAACTATTCAACATCAAGTGCAGTCTATGCATAAATCTGAATTAGACACCACTATCAGAGTTTTTCGAACATATAAAATTGGCAAACATAGCCGGCCATTCACAGACATGCCAATTGATTTGAATGTACAGAAACTGAATGGGCTGAACGTGGGCAGGGTTTTGCACTCCAATAAAACCTGTGGCGAAATCATCGACCACATAGCTCATGAGCTGAAGAAAAAAATGGCAAAAGACATTACAGAAAACCAAAGAAAACTCTGTGTTTTGGTCGATGAATCTACCACTATTAGTGGTTAAAACGGTGCTTGTTGTGTGTCTACGCTCAGCATTAGCTGATGCTGAGCCCGAAACGTTTTTTTTGGGAGCTGATCGAGTTGGATGGAACAACGGCTGATGACATCACAAAGGCGTTAATGGAGTGTCTTGGAAGAGATTTTAACGAGGACTTTTTAGGTCAGTGTTTCGTTTCTTTTGCATGTGATGGGGCTTCAGTCATGCTAGGGAAGAGAACAGGCGTTGCTACCCAGTTGTGTAGTAAATTCCCAAGCCTGTTTGTGTGGCACTGTTCCAATCATCGTCTAGAGCTGGCAGTTGGGGATGTGGTCAAGGAGGTCTCAGGGCTCAATCATTTCCAGATCTTTTTTGACAAACTCTATTCCTTGTTCCATGCCTCCCCCAAAAATCAGAGGCAGTTTAGCGCAGTGTGCGCAAGCAGTCGGACAGCGTCTCCTGGTGATAGGGCGTGTTTTGTCCATCCGCTGGGTGGCTTCAAGTGAAAGGAGAGTCAGAGCAGTCTGGGAAAACTACCGAGTGCTTCATGATCACTTCACAAATGCTGCAAACGACACGAGCAGGGATTCCAGAGACAGAGCAAAGTACAAGGGCCTGGATGATGTGCTCACATCTGCAACGTTTGTCAGCAATCTGGGACTGATGTACGATGCGCTCACAGAGCTCAGCGACCTCTCTCGGCAACTCCAAAAAATAGAGATGACACTGCCTACAGCAGATAGGCTCTTAACTCGAGAAATACGAGTTTTTTAATCCATGATCACCATGCCTGGCCCACACATGACTACAGTTCATACAGCTCTAGCTGAGAAGTCCTTCAAGGGTGTTGCCCTGCGTGAGAATGGCAGGCTTGTACAGATTCATGCAGGTCAGTTTTTCCGCAGTATGGTAGAGAATCTGAGGCACAGAATGACTTCCACAACCTCCTCTCATGTCAGCACAAGAGAAATCCCATTACATGGCCGGGAGGCCCGGGACAATCAGCTAATCCAGGACATGAAAGTTATCCATCCTGGAAGTTGGCCTGAAGAGGAGTTAGACGTACAGTATGGGGACGTAGAGGTGCTACGTTTGTGCGAAGTGCTGAAAGTGGACAGAAGAGAGACTGTTCAGGGCTTTCGCGAATACAAGGAAACCAGGGCATCCCGTACACCTGCTGCCATGGAGCCTCTACTGAAAGCAGTCCGAACCATCGCTGTCTCCACTAGTGAGTGTGAGCGGGCATTCAGCTGCATGAACGATATCCTTACTGCAAAAAGGAATGCTCTCTCTGTCAGCCGACTGTCCAGCCTGGTTTTCATTAAATGTAATGGACCATCACTAGGACAGTTCAATCCGGAACAGTATGTGAGGTCCTGGCTGGCAAAGGGAAGGAGAAGTGCTGATGAAAGAGCCTGTCCAGCTCCAGCCCCTGATACTGATGTCCCCAAGGCCTTCTGGAGCCTTTTCTAACAATGTGAAGTATATTGCAAAGCAGCTCACCCAGTGAGAAGACTTTTGGCATAATGTGCCGATTTGTGCAGATCCTGGAGATAGAAGGACTTCAGACCAACCAGGGAGTTATCTGATCAGCTTGGTGTTCAATGTAACTCTTTACCATGGCTCAGACTTTGTTACTTGCAGTTACAGTTTCTCATTTTAGATTGTGCAAATTTTGCATTTGTTTTTACATGTTCTTTGTTCATGCTCTTTATCATTTTTCTGAGTTGGAAAGTTAGATTGCATCATAGTTTACTTTATACATATTTGTATTCTTCAGTGGTGAAGTATATTGCAAAGCAGCTCAGCCATGTGAGAAGACTTTTGGCACTTTTTCGTTTTCTGAGTTGGAAAGTTAGATTGCATTCAAAATGTACAGAAATACTTAATTTTGTTAAAGCTTTTTATAAAAAATGCTTCTGACCAGAGCTTTGTTTCCTTGTCATTAATGTTGAACACCACCAGAGGGGCTCTCACCTGAAAGGTCTCTGCTTCATGTGTCTTCAGCAGAAGATCTAGACTTTGATTGCTATATTTTCAGTTAATATTGACCTTACTGAGCTTTAGCCATATCCGCTGCCTATCATAAAAAATGTTAAGTACAGTGAACCTTTCTAAAATATACAGTAGTAAAGAGACAAACCCACCAGCATTATAGTAGCCAAATTCTTGTTTGTGGGCTGTATATATAAATTGACTTGAAAAAGTTGCTGATTTTAGAGTACTGGCACCTTTTTCATTCCAATTCAAGCACTGAGTATAGTAATAATTACATGCAACAATTAAATAACTGCTCAGCATCTCCACCACAATCCCAATCTGCTGTGTCCTGTTTTCCTCCCCCCTGCATAACACCCATC